TCAATATTTAAAATTTTATTAAAAATTTTAAAATATGCAGGCAAATTTGCCTGTGTTACAATCTAAGGGATAATAACTTATAATATATATTATTTATATAATTATTTAGTATAATTATATAATATATATATATATATTATATAGTATAGGCTACATGTAGCCATAGCTATATATAAAATTTTCCAATTAATAAATATATTAAAATTTCTATTTAATTAATAAAAATAATTACTATTATCTATTGAAATAGATTTAATTTTATCAAAATTTTCTTCTAATTCATCTATTTCTTCTTCTTCCCCTTCTAATTCTTCTTCTTTCCCCTCTTCTAATTCTTCTTTTTCCTTCTCTTTTAATTCTTCTTCTTTCTTCTCTTCTAATTCTTCTTCTAATTCTTCTTCTTCTAATTCTTTTTCTTCTACTTCTTCATTCATTTTTAATTCTTCTTCTTCTATTTTTTCATTCATTTCTAATTTTTCTATTTCAAACAATTCATTTTCCAAATTTTAATTTTTTTAAAAAAAATTAAATTTAATATAAATAAACAATTTATATTATTATTTGCTATTTTTAAACTTACTTTTTTTAATATTTTGATTAATATTTTCTTCAATACCCTCTATACTAATAATATTTGTTTGACTATTAGATATATTATTTAAAATTGTAGAAGTATTTTGAAGATTTTTTTCTCGCTTCTATGTCTTGTTCGAGTAGAAGTACTTAAATATTTGCTATGTTTATTGGTTTCCTGCAAGCAAAATATGCATGTATATAAAACTTTTTTATCTATAGCTAATTATATAATATTTATAATTTTAAAAACTAAATAAGTATTTGTAATAATTAATTATACTATTTTAGCTTTAATAGTAATTTATAAAATAACAAACCTTTTTACTATATATTTTTACAAATTACGAATTTGGTTTTTGTTAAGTAACAAAGCGATTTATAAAATAATCAAAAAACAATATAATTATATAACATAATTATTATATTTTGCCAAATTGTATAACTTCTGAATATTAAATTATTTTTGTAATTAAGATCATGATTATATTTATAAAGCTAACCAATTTTATAAATCTTGCTATTTAAAATTTTTATTAATTAATACAATAAAAACTAAATATATACAAGCAATATAACAAAATTTTAGCATGCAAATACAAAATTTTTATATATATAGAGTATTAATAATCTCAAATATTTTTTATAAACATAGTCCATTCCTTCTTTGTAAAATTTTCTAACCATGTAACACCAATATCATTAATAGTATCTAATAGTATCTAATTATTATTAAGTACATTTAAAAGCTGATTTAAATGAGGTCCTGCTATAATAAAGGTGGTAAGCTTTCAAGATGAAATACATTCAGTGAAACCAGGAATAGTTATTTTTAAATCTGAATAATCCTCTAATTCTTGATTTTTTTTTTATTTTTTAATTTTAAAAGAATCACTATTTACAATATGTTTAATTTGAAAAGAATTTGTTTTATTAATATTAAACATATTATAAAGAGATATCTTTTTAGTTAGAAGAGCTCTAACTTGGGTTGCTAACTTGGTTCCCTTTTTGCGACTTGTACATTTAATAATCCACTCTTTAAGATAATTATAAGCTATATCAAACTTATACAAAAACCATAATGATAATCTATATAAAACTTCAATATGATATATTGATATATTACAGTCAAAAATTGACTGATAATTTGTACTTATTAATGTTAAGAATATATCCAATTGTTTATTTAATATATTAATATTTTCTATTAGATATTGTTTTAAAAAGTTATTAACTCTAAGATCTTGTGATATTTGTGGTACATATCTTAAAAGCATAAGTTGATTTTGTAAATCTAAGTTATTAGAATTGGAAATTACCCAATTATTTTCCCAATCTAAAGATAGTGCACCATTAACTTGAGCTGGATCAAATTAAACTATTAAAGTTTTACGAAGCATACTAAGTTCCTTTAAATATCCAAGAATATCTTTATAATATTCACCTTTTTTTATATTTGAATTAATATCATAAAAAGATGCAATAAGAGGTAACTCTGCTTCAAATGATAGTAACTCATGATATAGATTAGAAACTTTTAATTTATTTCCTTTTAATATATCATCAGTTTTTTTTGTATTTTGAATTTCAGCAAAATAGCCAAGAACTGGATATGAATCTTGACTATTTTGCTTTTTGCTTACTCTTTCTAGTCTTGGAAACTTTATTCTCATAATAGATTTTTGGATTTTTGCAGGCTTAATTGGTTCAAGTATAATGTTACTTCAATTATTTTTAAAAGTTACTGTCTTTGTAATTGGACTTATTTCAATTTTGTCCAAATTAATATTATATGTACTAGATGCTAAAATAACACTTTGTGTTATAATATCAGAAGGTATGTCTTGAAGGAAGGCAGGTTTAGAAGACCGATTTATCTATTTAGAAGTTTGTATTACAATATCTAAAATTAAAATTCAGTTAAGTATTTTTTTAAACTAATAAATATTTAAATCATAAATTATATTGTCATTTAATACTTTTATCATTATCTCTATTATTGTTCTCTTCTTCATTTTCTTCTTTGCTCTCTTTATTCTCATCTTCATCCTCTTTGCCTTTTTTGCTATCTTCATTATCTTCTTCATTTCTACTAACTTCATTAAAACTTTTATCACTTTTCTCAATAGATTGGTTATCTACAACATCTACTTCATTGTCACTACTTTTATTACTAATGGTTTCATTATTACTGTTTTTACTAGTATTATCTATTTGTATTGTTTTTTATCTAGCAAAATTAAAGTTGGTTAAAAAAGGTCAAGAATTAATTATAAATACAGCATATTTACGAGAAAAACAATGGAGTTCCTCATATTTTACTTTCAAAATTTTATCAGTTCTACTTGGATTTTTATTTACTTCAAGAATTGTATTTAACTGTGCTGACAATTGATTATGAAGGAAAGTTGTATCCCCAAGTTCTTGAAAGGTAAAACTTTTTGTTATATTATTTGCAAATATCATTTCAATATCTTTATTAAGAAATTAAATTTCATAGATATGTTGTTCTTTATTATAAAAATATAATAAGTATAAAACTCATATTAAGATATCTATATTTCTTTTTTTTTTAGAAAAAAATATAATTCAAGTTATAAAAATTTAATAATTGTATTTAATAAAAATAAATTAATAAA